GAGAGAGAGAGAGAGAGAGAGAGAGAGAGAGAGAGAGAGAGAGAGAGAGAGAGAGAGAGAGAGAGAGAGAGAGAGAAAAGAGAGTCACCTACCTTAGATGAGGATGCTTGGTGACTGAAACTATGAAACTGCTTAATATCTGGAGTCTGGACCTTGCATCTCTGGTCTCCAGTGTGGACTTTCGTGTGATCTCCCATAGATCGATAGATAGATAGATAGATAGATAGATAGATAGATAGATAGACGAAGAGCGAGTGTGTGATCCAAATATATGTTTGGTGAAGAGCCAGATATTTAAATGACCAGTACCTTTCCTAGGCAATGCCGAGAATAAAAAATGTAACATTCCGGGTTCTTCGGATGAACAGTACCACTAGACCACAATGGCTGGCCGTACCAGCCGAAAGAAGAGGGGAAAAAAAACAATTGTCGCGCTGGTGCTTCAGCTAAGCTTGGCGCGCAGTTCTTTTCCGCTTTGGCAAAAAGAGGCTCGGAGGTAGTGATGGTTTGAATACAGAGATCATAGTATGGCATCGAACGCATCAGCATCGTTGTTCCACTTTACTAGTCTTCAGGCTCCTCAATGCTCTTCTTGTTGCAGAGAAGCAAGCAGTCTTGTTGTGTCCCAATGTTCGAAGACTCGTCCATGAATGTTCGAAGACTTGTCCATGAATATTCCGACTTATATTCATCGACAAGTCAATGGGTATGTATGAAGACTCGTCAAGGGCTTGATTGACATGTTGATTGCTTTCCTGTAGTAGCCTAGTAGGCATGTTTATTGCTTTTCTTCTTCTCCCTTTTCAGATACCAATTTCTTGTGAGCTTCACCTTTGTGTGCAGTGGCAAGGGTGGCCCGAGGCTGGGCCAGGGGCGAGGGCCAGGGGGAGGGGGGGGTTGTTTTGCCACAATAATTCTATAAATTATAAGTGTGTATTTGTTGAACTGAATATTGGAAGCAGAAAAGGGAAGTGGGACGGAAAGGGAACAAAAACGAGCAAGAGAGGAAGGGCGGGGAAGTAAAGGAAACTCATATAAGTGTGTGTGTGTGTGTGTGTGTGTGTGTGTGTGTGTGTGTGTGTGTGTGTGTGTGTGTTTGTGTGTGGGGCAGACCTACAGTGGCTCGACTTGGAGTGCCCTATGTGATGATGCATATGAGAGGAGAGCCTCAGACAATGCAGGCAAGTACACTGACTGGTATACTCAACTGTGGTCACATCTATCCAGTTGTTTGACTGTGTTTTGACTTTCTAACTTAAAAGGTCTGCTATCCAATTGTTTGCCTGTGTTTTGACTTTTTGTAACTTGACCTGCAAGGTCTGCTATCCGATTGTTTGCCTGTGTTCTTATGACTAACTTAGTCTGCAATATCTGACTTTTCAAATGTTTGTCACACTTTCCTGACTTTTGTTCTCCCTTGAGCTCTTGTATCTGCATCACTGTCATTATGTCAAAGTAGATTTGGTAAGTCTTGGTACCGAGGGAGGGTTGAAAGTCAAAATTTTACAAAAAAAATGCCATGTCTCACCGTCAATGCTTCTGGAATGCTCTTTGGAGAGAGAAGTTTGGACTCTTTGCGTATATGTCATACTTGCAAGCAGACGGACTGGATGAGCGTCCGGTCCGGTCCGCTTTGCCGCGTGCGGCACCCTCCCCCCGGACCGGACGGAGGCGTTTTTTTTTTTGGGGGGGGGGTTGGGGCGTAACTGGTCGTTGGGCACACATTCTTCTTCTTCTTCTTCTTCTTCTTCTTCTTCTTCTTCTTCTTCTTCGGACGGAGGCGTTTTTTTTTTTGGGGGGGGGGGTTGAGGCGTAACTGGTCGTCGACCGCACATTCCTTCTTCTTCTTCTTCTTCTTCTTCTTCTTCTCTACTACGACTACTACTATAACAATTGTCCTCTGTGAGCTATCGTCCTTCTACTACTACTACTACTATAACAATTGTCCTCTGTGAGCTATCGTCCCAAGTATAATCATGCTTACAATGAATTGATAGTGATGCATTTGCAATGATGATTGTCATTGGCAGAGAAAAGAGTACACATCATACGAGGATATTTGTCGAGATGTGAGCTGCGAACTGCTGGAGCAGGCTAGAAAAGCCGAGGAAGCAGGGATTCCTGTATGGAACATCATTCTGGACCCAGGTTTGTAAAGACAATTGCTATACTTGTTTTCGTGTTGCTTTTGTCTTTTCTTGAAATATATATATTTTTTTGTTTCGTTTTTTCCCCGCCCCCCGTCTATTTGGGCTCCTTCCACTCTGCCGGTAGTTTCGAAGTGTGGTAGGTACTGCGAGCCCTCTGCCCCACTCGAAAAGAGATTCGAATGGTTCACCGGTTCCACCGTATGCTCTCTGGGTTGAATTGAGTATGCAGTGCGCCTCTGATGTTGTGGCCATGCCCTAGTACGCGGGTACTCTGGATCTACCCAAGCCCAACATCAAACAACATCTACAAGATTACTAATATATGAGCTTGTGATAAATTTTGTGTTTTGAAATGATGCTGGATTTTGTTACACTGTACGATTTTTGCACCTGAATTATCAGACAAGTCTAAAATTTTCCCCAAAGTGGAGGGAGCGGTGCACAACGATTACCCGCCAAGATCGGGCATGGGCGCAATATACTGAGTTGTCCAAGCAGACTTACCGTGGAAGTGTGCAGGAATCTGGTCCGTAATTAGCTCTAGAGTCCATCAATGGGAAAAACAAAAAGAATCTGCTCATGTGGATGAGCTGGTCACACTGAAGAAGGAGATGACGTCCATCAGCAGCAAGCTGGACGCTATCAAGGTCAAGCAAGTCCACGCACGACGCCTTCTTCCCCTAAGAAAACTGTTCTTATATATTGAAAAGTGGAAATCGAGGGGGAGCGGATATCAAAACCCAAGCTGGAGGCGCCACCCAAATTTAGAGGTGGATGTGATGAGGATGTGGATCCCTGGTTGCGTGCCATCGATGGGCAGCTACATTATTATGAGCTTCCCAGGGACAGCGACAAAATCCATTTTAAAAGTTTTCCGCAATGTTAGACGCAGCGAGAGAGTGGGCGGACAGCGAAGTGTTAGGAGAGGGCTGCCAATCTATCTCCCACATCAGCGGCTTGCTCTGCCATAATCCGCTTGGGGTCGGCCATGCATTTCTTCTTCATTTCCTCTTCGTCCTCCTTTCTCCCCCTCTCTTCTACTTGTGCTCGCTTTGCCTCCAGCGCTGCAAGCTCGTCCTTTGCACTTGTCGCCATAGTTGGTTTCTTCTTTGCTACCCTCTTCTTCTTTTCAGGGGTGGACAACCGCCGATGTATTTGCGCCTTCTTTCTCACCTGTGAGCGTGTGAACATGAACGCCCTCCTTCTCTTTTCCAACCACCTTTCTTCAATTCCACTGTTCTCCGGTTTTTCTCCACGGTTATTATCCTTGCAGCAAACCGTGCTAAACAAGGTACAACATGAAGTAGGTCGATGCCCAATGGTGGAAGATAATTGCTGATGTGGCAATGGCTGATGTGTCAAAGATGCTGATGTGGCAGCTTGGACCACCCAATCACTTGCCCGACGTCCAGATCTCGTTGCCAGCTCTCATACCAAGGTTAGGAATTGGCAAAGCTTCAACTTCTTTCCATGCGCAGCACTCAAACAAAGTTTAACAAACTGAATGAAGACCGATCTTCAAGATGGCAGTTGGAGAAACGCTTAAACCACCAGTCAGTACTTCCTAAAGTCGTGCCCATAAACAAGCCGCGACTTTAGGAAACGTACGGGCGACCCACAGAAGCGTCCAAATTCATCCAACTACAACGTTTCTAGTACTTTCTAGTACTCGATCTTTTTTCGCGGCCCATAGCTGGGCCAAGTACTGGGTCGTTTAACACCAAGCCTACATACGCGAGCACACTTTATGAAAATTTCAAAAGGTGATGTCCACTTGAGGGCCAGGCTGCACAACTGAGCAATCTGCAACAAACGACTATAGAGCTACGGCTGCACCCAAACCCTCTCCTTCAGCTGCCAAGATTGGCACTCTTGCTCCTTTTCACTCCACCAAAATCACGAACTGAAAAATGAATGAATTGTAGTCCTAGCTCGTCGCGTTTTGTTATGTCAATTTTGTCTACAGGGTCCTACCACCGGGCTCTGGCCTGGAGAAATTTAGAGGTCTAGGTCCTATAGGCTCCTATGTGTCCAAGATCAGCTAACAGTATACGCTTACTTGGAGGTCCCAGGTCCGAATCTGACTGGGCTGCAAACTTGAAAAACAAAAATAAACGCTTGTTTTTTTTTTTGGCTTCGCATTTGGGCCAGGTCTCGGGTTCAAATCTCCCTGCGCCCAATAGATGTGCTCTTTCGAGTGGATAAGTAGAGTAAATCAGTAGGCTCGCTAGAGCCCCACGGCAAGCGTCTCTATCGTTCCTCAGAGACAATACGCAAAGCCGTTGTGCATGGTTGTCGAAGTTGTTCTACGTTGTAATACACTTGACAACTTCAGAATTATTTTTTGCAGAACTCAGGATTCGATTACGGGCTGTCCTTCGGGACATCCGTTAAAATTGGAACGATACAGAGAAGATTAGCATGGCCCCTGCGCAAGGATGACAAAAAAAAAAAAAAAAAAAAAAAAAAGGATTCGATTACGGGCTGATTCGCATGGAACTTAGGAGGTTGCTTGCTGTACTCATGTCGCCTTCGACTTTGCTTTCATATCCTTCAATGTTGCAGGAATTGGTTTTGCGAAAACAGGAGCTCAGTCGCTGCAGCTACTCAGAGGTAAGGGCTTTTTTTTTCTTTGAAAAAGATAATTTTTTTTAATAGAAAATACAGTCTGTCTTTTCTCCTCTTATGGGGGACAGCTGTATTTTTGCTACCCTATTTTCTTCTCTCAAACCTCTCTTACACTAGCTACCTACTCATTCACACATCTCAGAGAACTACGTACTATCCCAAGGCAATCCGCCACTACAACCTAGCTTCAGTGGTTTGGAAGGCTCTACACTTAAATTCATTGGTTTGAACTTTGAACTGAGTTGTTGAATGGTTATGGGTCTAAGCCTACCTATCTCTACTCTGTGGGGGAAGCAGCACCCAAGCTCCTAGCACCTGTCATGGGCTGGAAAGACCAGTCACCACTTCCACAACCAGCCAGGAGGGGCCAAGCCGACTTTCTCAATCGGTGCGCCTGAAGTATAAGGGGGGGTCGAATGGATGCCGTTCGATTCCCCACGGCATCCATTCGACCCCCCAAGGGCTGTTTTTTTTTTTTTTTTTTTTTTTTTTTTTTTTTTTTTTTTGGACCATTTTTCATTTTATGTGTGTCATCCTTGCGTAGGGGCCATGCTAATCTTCTCTGCATCGTTCCAATTTTAGTCGATGTCCCGGAGTACACTCAAGAGGTAAGGTTGCTTTTGATGATTCGAAGAATTGTCGGATGAGGCTAAATGTCGTGAAGGACGCTCAGAGGTCAGGTTAACTATTGACAATTCCATAAATTGTTGGACGAGGTTAAGTGTCCCGAAGGACACTCAAAGAGTCAAAGGTTAACTATTGAGGACTCGATAAATTGTCGGATGAGATTATAATATCTAGTAGTCCTTTGGGACGTCGGTTAAAATTGGAACAATACGGTTAGTGTGAAAAAGGAGGAGGAGGAGTGGGGGGGAGGAATTTCAAAAAAAGGATTTGGATAAGTACTTTGGAAAGTTTGGGTAACTTTGGGATGAAGTATGTTGAGGTTGATTGAAGCTATATATTAAACAGTTTGTCACAGCCCCTCGTTTGTTGTCCTCTTCTCTCTCTCTGCCTACAGTTTACCGGGCAGTTCTGTTTGTGACGATATATATATATATATCTGTTTGTGACGATATATCAGCCTCCTGATGAGTCGGTGAAACTCCGACGAAACAGTTTGTCACAGCCCCTCGTTTGTTGTCCTCTTCTCCCTATCTGCCTACGGTTTACCGGGCAGTTCTATTTGAATCGTCAAATAGAATTGCCCGGTAAACCGTAGGCAGAGAGGGAGAAGAGGACAACAAACGAGGGGCTGTGACAAACTGTTTCGTCGGAGTTTCAC